TCTGGGATCCCCAAAGGATATCCTCATTAACAGGAAAAAATAGAGCCCCATCCTGGTGTCCTTGAACACAACAGTTGATACTCATAATATTGTCTTTCCAATTTATTCCCTAATTTATAAACAAATTATTGTAACTCTTTTGTATGCCTTACTCAGCCACAAAATCAAATAGCTTTGGAAGAGAATTGAAGAATTGCCAGTGTCAGAAATATATTTATTATAAGAAGAGAATAGGAGTCAAGGGGATGGGTTTCTAAATGAGAAAATGTTGCCCTTGTGTTAACAAATTAATGAGCATCAAACCTATAGGTATTCATGTATTTTTACTCTACCCAAGAAGACAGATTATTTTTAAATCTGGGAAATTAAGACAATATGAATAACAACAAAAAATACATGTAGATAAAAACTAAAGTTAGAAACATGCTCTTCAGTTGACAAAAATCAAAATATTTTTACTGAGAACTCGACTCATTCATATGCACACACACAAAAACAACGAATTGAATTTCAGAGTGTAGTGCATTGAATAGTCGCCTCCCAAAAGATATGCTTACATCCTAATTTATTTTTAGTGTTAACTATATACTAGGCATTATTCCAAGTAATAATGCACACACACACATACACTCCAGAGGGAGAGAGAGACTTAAAGTAATTGGCTTATATGTTTATGGGGGCTGGTAACTCTGAAATTTACAGGGCACGCTCCCAGCCTGAAAATTCAGAAAAGAGTTGATGTTCCAGTCTTGAGACTAATATCTGCAGATCAACAGTCTGGAAAATTAGGCAGAGTTTCTATGTTGCAGTCTTGAGGTATAATTTCTTCTTCTTCCAGAAACCTTTGTTCTTAAGGCCTTCAACTGATTGGATGAGGCCCACCCATATTGCAGAGGGTAATCTGCTTTCTCAAAGTCTAGGCATCACATCTGAAAATAACTTCAGAGTAACATCTAGAATGGTATTTGACCAAACAACTGTGCCACCTGGCCTAGTCAAGTTAACACATATAATTAACCATTCCTGAAAGGTTAAAGGATTTCTTTGAAGGTTACACAGCTGGGAAGTGCCTGAGCTGGATTAAGCCAGAAAGATCTCCACAGATACCACCCATTCAGACACTGCACTAACCTTGTCCGTGGTTATACATTGTGTATAGGTGAATTTCCTTATTTCTGTCTTTGGAAATTAAATTTCAAATGCCAAAGAAAACATTTAAAAAGTAACGCTTAATGTTAAATCCCAAAAATAAAATGTGAGCTACTTATGAACATGTATAAGGTTAAAAGAAATTCTTACTCCAACAATTTCACAGTACTAGCTGGCAGCTCACTCTATACTGTGAGGCATGGCTATGTAGAATACAGGTTTTCTTCAATTAAAGAAGTGTCAGCCTTCTGGATATAGCCAGCCAATATCCCCAGCACCCTTCATTGAACAGGGTGTCCTTTCCCCATTGTCTATTTTTGTTTGTTTTCCAGAAAATCAGTTGATTGTGGTTATGTGGCTTTATTTGGGGGTTCTCTATTCTGTTCCATTGATGTATCTATCTTTGTACAAGTACCATATTGTTTTAGTTACCATCGCCTTATAGTATAATTTGAAGTCAGGCAATGTGATACCTCTGGACTGAATTCCTATCTTTCACAATCTACAGAAATGAACTCTAGATGAATTAACAACCGTAACATAAGACCTGAAACTATAAAAATCCTGTAACAAAACCTAGGAAAAATTGTTCTGAACATCAGCCTAAACACATAATTTATAATAAAAGACTTCTAAAGCAAATGCTACAAAAACAAAAATAGACAAGTGAGATTTGATTAAACATAAAATCTTCTGCACAGCAAAATAAATAATAAACAGAATAAACAGGCAACCTACAGAGTGGGAGAAAATATTTGCAAGTTGTGCCCCTGACAAAGGACTAAAATCCAGAATCTACAAATAATTCGAATGACTCAACAAGAAGAAAACAAACACCATTAAAAACTGGTCAAAGGACATGAACAGAAACACAAAAGAAGAAATGCAAGTGGTCAATAAATGTGAAAAAATGCTCAATATCAATAATCATCAAAGAAATACAAACTAAAACAACACTGAAATATTATCTTACATCAGACAGAGTGGCTATTACTAAAAAGTCAAAAAACAACAGATGTTGGCAATAAATGCAGAGAAAACACTTATACCCTATTGGTAGGAATGTAAATTAGTCCAACCTCTATGGAAAGCAATATGGAGATATCTCAAATAATTAAAAATAGAACTACCATTGGATCCAACATTTCCACTACTGGATATCTAAACAAGGGAAAATATCATGATATAAAAAGGAATATGAATATGCATTTTTATGTTTATTGCAGCACTATTCACAATAGCAAAGTCATGGACTCAACCTATATGTCCATTAATGGTCAATTGAATAAAGAAAATGTGGAGGCCAGGTGCGGTGGCTCACGCCTATAATCCCAGCACTTTGGGAGGCCGAGGTGGGTGGATCACAAGGTCAGGAGATCGAGACCATCCTGGCTAATATGGTAAAACCCCATCTCTACCAAAAATACAAAAAAATTAGCCGGGTGTGGTGGTGGGCACCCGTAGTCACAGCTACTCGGGAGGCTGAGGGAGGAGAATGGTGTGAACCTGGGAGGCGGAGCTTGCAGTGAGCAGAGGCTGCGCCACTGCACTCCAGCCTGGGCGACAGAGCGAGACTCCATCTCCAAAGAAAAAAAAAGAAAATGTGGCATATATACACTGTGCCATATATACTATTCATCCATAAAAAAGAGTGAAATCGTATATTTTTAACTGGAGGCCATGATCCTAAGTGGACTAATTCAGAAGCAGAAAATCAAATATGGCATGTCCTCATTTATAAGTGGGAGCTAAACAGTGGATACACATGGATGTAAAGATGGAAATACTAGACTTTGGGAACTCAAAAAAAAAAAAAAAAAAAAGGAAAGGTTGGGGGAGGATGAGGATTGAAAAATTACTTACTGGGCATGGGTACAACGTTCAACATATGGGTGATGAGTGCTCTAGAAGCCCAATAATCCCCACCATTATGCAATATGCCTATATAACAAACATGCACATATACTCCCTGAATCTAAATAAAAAATAAAATATGACACAGTGAGATAAGAAAGGCTGTGTCATAGAGGAGTGTTACATGTAGCTATTTGCAACTATCTGGGACACTGATAAGGCTGTGGAGTAAACATTTCCTGCCTCCAGTCATAGGAGTCATCTGGGATTTAATTACTGGGGTTCCTTTCTCCTTTACACATTCATGAAATAAACATTAAGTTTGAGCAATCATTTTCCTCTGGAAGAAAAACAGCTAAGAAAATAGCTGTCTATTGCAAATAGTGCCACAATAAACAATCACATGCATGTGTCTTTATGGTGGAATGATTTATATTCCTGTGGGTATATACACAGTAATGGAATTGCTGGATCAAATGGTAGTTCTGCTATTAGCTCTTTGAGGAATCACCGTACTGCTTTCCGCAGTTGTTGAACTAATTTACACTCCCACCAACAGCGTATAAGTGTTCCCTTTCCTCTGCAACCTCACCAGCATCTGTTATTTTTTGACTTTTTAAAAGTATGACTAGTGTAAGATTGTATCTCATTGTGGTTTTGATTTGCAAAATCAACTTAAATGCCCCTCAATGACAGATTGGATTAAAAAAATGTGGTACATATACGCCATGCAATACTATCCAGCCACAAAAATGAACAAGATCATATCTTTTGTGGAAAGATGGATGAAGCTGGAGGCCATTACCCTTAGAAAATTAGTGCAGGAAGAGAAAACTAAAAGCCACATGTTCTCACTTAAAAGTCAGAGCTAAATGATGACAGCATACGAACACGAGGAAGGGAATAAAAATCACTGGAGCCTATTTGATGGGGGAGGTTGGGAGAAGAGAGAGGAGCAGAAAATATAATTACTGGGTATTGGGATTAATACTGGGTAATGAAATAAGCTGTACAACAAACCCCAGTGATATGTGTTTACCTATGTAACAAATCTTCACGTGTATCCCTGTACCTAAAATAAAAGTTAGGAAAAAAAAAGAAAGAAAATAATATAGCTATCTGTCACAGAAACATATCTAGAAAATACCCGAGTCACCTAATGGATTATCTATGGTAAACATTTAGGTATTGATTAACCGGAAATATATTTTAAATAAAAATGATGTGATTATGTTCTAAATCTTCCTGGAGAGCTGTGCACCCACATAATGATGTCTGAAGGAGATACTGGTATTAGATACCTTAGTAATTAAACCTTTGCCTTGTCTCACCTTAATAACTAAAGACATTAAATGCCAGGGAGTTCTGTGAGTTACTGAATGTTCTAGAGATAGAGGTATTGTTACTAATCAGAAGAAATGCATTAAGAAGTTTTCCTACCTACTGTGAACAACTCACCAAACAAAAGGCAGATTCTGTGTTAGTCATCTGGGATCTACTTGCATCTTCCTCTAAAGAATAGGACTTAGTCTTTTTACAGTGGACAACCATGAATGGACAGTTTAGAGGGGCGAATTGAATGGTAAGAAGGACCCACTATGACGTGTGTATGTGTATATACACAACTGCATATGTATATTTATATATAAGTCATGTAACTATACATAATTCCCCTTTATAGGGAGAACAGTAACTCTTTCTCCTCCTCCTTGTTTTGGAGGGCCTCATTACTGCATTCTAATGGCCTCTTGGGTTCCTTGTGTGTCTCATTCCCCAGGGCCTTTGAAACGGCGCCCCACAGCTGTGCACAAGGCCATTGCCACGCAAGGACTCCGTGCCCCTTCTGGAGACCCACAGGATCTGGGCTGGGATCTGCCAAAGCCCCTCTTTCTTACTGGCTCTCCCTCCACATCTGACAATGCTTCCACAGACCGACATCTCCACTTTCCTCCACCACCACTTGCAGGACCCCCGAGCCCCCGGAATAAAACCTCCAGGGAGTCGCCACGCAGGGGACCCCGGATTCCTGCGCCCGGGCTCAGGTCACGGAGGGCGGCGTCCAGGCTGCCCTTGGAGGAGACCAGGGCCAGGTTGAGTGCAGGCCTCCAGGAAGGGGCGGGCCCAGCCCCTCAGGTGCGGCAAGGGCCGCGTCCCAGGTTGCACCGCGCTTGGCCTCCCTCCTTGCTGTCCTCAGGGACGGACCCGGGTGTCCTGGGCTCTGGTCCTGCCCCCCCCTCCACGCGTCGCACCTCTGGCTTCAGGGGGAGCTCCGTGGGCCGGGATTTGGGGGTGGTGGTGCCTTCCTCTGGCCCTGGCCCTGGGGCTCCGAGACCTCTCCGGGGAGCCGCAGCGGGTGTAGCCGAGCTGCCGTCCCAGGGCTCAGCAGAGGTGCCTGGGGAGGAGGACGCTTAGCTCAACCCAGGGGAGCCACCGCAGGACAGGTCCGCGCAGGACACAGGGCCCTGCCTGAGACGCGCGCCTGGACTGCAGGCCCCGGGCTGTGGCTCCATTTGGCAAGGGAACGTCTTATGCACTATCCAGGATTGGTATCTGATGTAAAGCTGGATAAGGCTCCTCCCCCATCTGGAGTCTTGCACAGGTGGAGGGAGAAAGAATGCGAACCCCCCTCTCCTTGCCTGGGCCCAGCGGCGACCAATTGGTGGGCTGTCGGCCTCAGGTGTTTCGCTCTGTCTTCCGGATCATGCGGAGTCAGAAGAAATACGAGGAAGAAGAACTTGGAGAGGGCCTTCCTCCCCTGTGTCGCAGGCCACTGGGGGCTGACTCCCAAATCCAGGTAAAATAATGCTCCCCCCCACATTCCTCGCATGCTCCTGCAATTCCGTACTCCAGGAGATGATGTGGAGAGTAGAATCGAGTTTTATGTTCCTTTGGGAATTTTTAAAATAAAGTTTGTGAGTAGGCACACTATGTGCTTTTGTTTGTTTGTTTTGCTTGTTACAGTAGGACTTTAACAAGCGTTGGCGGCCAGGTGCATCATCTCTATCCCGAGAGGCCTGTCCAGGACAGCCCAGCTTGTCTGCTGTTTGCGCTGCAACTATAAGTTTTGGGAACAGGACAAACCCACTTCACAACAGTTCTCTGAATAATACTTGAACTCTGAATAATTACCTGAACTCTAGATTCTCAGAAAGAGAAAGAAGTCCTGCCTTGAGTTTTTTGTGGAATAATTTTATTCTTCTCTAAGAGCTAAAAAGGACAGATTCTATTTGCAACTGTGAAATCACCATCCAATCAGATGTCTTCTTTTTAGATTTTCTCTTTATGTTTTGAAGTGAAAACCAGAAATCACTGGTTTATATATTCACAAGATTTTGTACCCATCACCATTAATTTCAAAATATTTTCATTACCACTTAAGGAAACCGCTTACCCATTAGCAGACTTCCTTTGCTCCTCCTCCCCCCACTGCTCAACACTAAAGTGCTTTTTTCTCTATAGAATTGCCCTTTCTAGACATTCTATATAACTGAAATCATACAAACTGTGACCTATTGTGTCTGATTTCTTTTATTTAGCAGAATGTTTTAAAGGTTTATCCATGTAGTAGCATATATAGAGATTCTACATATAGAATCTCAGTCTGGGGTATCTAATCCCAGCTTTTTATGGGCGAATAGCGTTTTATCGCATATATGTACCATATTTTGCTTATCCATTTATCAGTTTATAATTTGGGTTGTTTCCATTTTTAGACTATTGTGAATGATGCTATGAAAATCTGTGTACAAGATTTTGTATGGGCTGTTTTCAATTATCTCATACGGAGAACTGAGAGTGAAATTGATCTGTTATATTGTAACTGTATGTATAACTTTCTGTGGCGTTACCAGAGTGTTTGCCAAATTATTGGTGGCTGTTGGTATCCATTGGCTTATGGCCACATCACTCCAGTCACTGCTTCTGTCTTCACATCTCCTGCTTTGGTAATCTATGTGTGTGCGACCCCTTTCCACCTTTCATAAAGATGTTTTCCATGGCATTTAGTACTTATTGGGATAATTACAGATGATCTCCTCATTTTAAAGTTCTTAATTACATCTGCATAAACTTTACCATATAAGGTGATACTAGAACATGGACATATCTTTGGGTGCAGTTATCTATGTAACATAGTGTCTTCCTAGGAATTTGTTCATTTCATCTATATTATCAAGTTTGTTGGCATACAACTATTCAAAATATTGCCTTATAATCTTTAAAAAGATTTGAAAGTCTGTAGTAATGTTTCCTCTTTAATTCCTGATTTTATTAATTTGAACATATCCATTGTAATCATCTTTGCCAGTTTTCTTATTGCTTATGTGAAGGAGTAGATATTGGAGGGTCATTACTTTGCCATTACAGAAGTGGTTCTTACCAGCCGCTTTTTCAATATGAGATACATTCAATTATTTTAATACAATCTCCCTTATGGATCTCAGATGAAGAGTAAAAGATATCATTTTCTGTATGATTGTACATTACATTCACCTTTTGAACAATGGCCGGTGAAATGTTCATGGCCCGTGCTTGCAGAGGTACTATCACCTTATCACCTTTGAAAAACTTTGAAAATCTGAAAAACATACAGCTCAATATTTTCCTTCAGTTCTATCCATCAGGATAAAAATCTCCGTAATTTTTTTTTTCTATGCCTGCTTTCTTTTCTTCTTAGCTGGGAAAGCATTTTGTCAAAATTGTTGCAAAATATCTGAATTCTGGAAAAATAGAAAATGCCAAGTAATATTTTTATAATGTAAAAGAAGCCAAAGTAGACTTTATATCTGCAGAGACACTGTTGGAATTTCATAGGGAAAATTTTTTTTTAAATTATTCTTTTTAAGTTCAGCTATTAGCAAGATATTGAATAGATATTATGACTTTCTGTAACACAGAATATATGCTTCTGTACCACAAAATATATGCTTTGTTTATAAAGGTTTAAATATCTGTTTTTAATCAAAATTATAGTTATTTTTCTTGTACGTAATTTATGACAATTCTTTGTGAGTAACTCGTTCTGATTATTATAGGGCTAGTGATGGTTCAACACTAAAAAGTCAACTTGGAAAAATTTAGCTAACTTCAGATTTTAATTTAAAGTTAAAACTTCAGCTTATCTCACTTAATTCATTGCATCTGCACAAAGAATCTCAGTCTGGGGTATCTAATCCCAGTTTGGGTCTTAGCTATTGTGTCTTCAGGATATTAAAGCCACGTTCGTAGTGTATTTTATTTCAACCGGAGTTTTTTACAACTTAGATGGAACTTAGCTTTATTGAGGGCAGACCTTAAACACTCTTTACCCTGAGTTCTATTAGCTTGTGTTAACCATATGGCTGCGGTGGCTGGCACGAAATTAACCAATCCTAAATATTAGTATGGCTTAGTCAAACTTTCGTTTATTACTAAAGATTTATCACTGCTGTTTGCCATGGGGGTGTGGTTGAACAAAGTGTTTTGAGTTGCATTTGTGCGTGCTTGATACCTGCTCCTTTTGATCTGGGTGATCTAGAGGACATTTTCACTGGGGTGGGGATGCTTGCATGTGTAATCCTACTAAGAAGTAATTAATAAAAAGGCCAGGACCAAACCTATTTGTTTATAGGGTTGGGTAGACCCATCTATACATTTTCAATGTCTTGCTTTGAATGAATAAGCTACCTTAACTGCATGTAATTCTTTTTTTTTTTTTTTTTTCTGTTGGAGTCTCACTCTGTCACCCAGGCTGTACAGCAGTGGCCTGATCTCGGCTCACTGCAAGCTCCGCCTCCCGGGTTCAGCCGTTCTCCTGCCTCAGCCTCCTGAGTAGCTGGGACTACAGGCGCCTGTCACCACATCCGGCTAATTTTTTTGTATTTTTAGTAGAGAAGGGGTTTCACTGTGTTAGCCAGGATGGTCTAGATCTCCTGACCTCGTGATCCACCTGCCTTGGCCTCCCAAAGAACTGCATAGAATTCTTAAATGGAAAATTAAAATATAAGAAAGAAAGAAATAAGTATGGTTGTTAACAGTTCTGGGAATTCAGGGTCTTTAAAGTCGAATTGGCAGAGGTTTGGCTGAGAGAATTTCTTATAATTAGAATACGGTTTATTTAGGGTGTGATATATTGGGGCAGTGCTTTCAAGGAATATGCTCAAGGTATTATATTAGTATTAGGGTAGATATTTAGTTATATTTATCACACCTAATGGAGGATTTATTTGGTAGGAGGGTCTTAAAATTTGTTAGAAAATTACATCAATTGAGGGGGAGCTGTTGGGGTATTCATGGTTAAAATATAATTTCTGAGCTCTGACTGGGTTACTTTTTAGTCTCTTATTTTTGGGGTTTGGCAAAGGTACGTTTACCTAGGTTGATGGTAAAGTCACAGATTGGGGGAAGGGGAATTTGCATAATTAATTGGAAATAGTTCTAGAAATTGAGCGTGCATGCGTGCGTGAGCGTCTATTGATTAACTGTTATGTCTTTCAAGCATGAATTAATTAACACCTTTATGGTTATTACGCCAGCCTGAAGTATTCAATACAAGCTCAGTTTCTACAATTGATTTGGCAGGAATCAAATCTGAGTTCGTCCACAGCAGGTTCGTCAGGGACCAGGCCATCACCATGCTGTGATAGCATCCCCCAAAGTTAGAAATACCAAATGCATGACAGTGCTCCCGTGACTGGTTAATAGGGTGGTAGTCATTAGTCCATCGAGATGTTTTTTTTAAGGGGAACATGTGGGCAATCTTAGTTTTATGGCCCTGAAGTAAGAACCAGATGCCAGGTATCGTTTCAGTACAGTCACCCCCAAGTGTCATGGGCCCGGAGTGAGCAGGAAAATACTCCCTAGCGGAATGATGACTTCTCGGAGTTTAGTAGATTAAGAGACCAAAAACTGACAGGAGATATCCATGTTGACGAGGGACATCTTGACTAAAATGTGCTATATCTGATGAACAAATGTATGTACTATGTAATATTAAGGGTTTATAGTACGGGTCAATATCCATGTGGATTAGATTCGGTTGTACAGTCAATAATACCCAATTTATGACAGTTGATTAAGAAATTCTTAATACGTGCTTATATGTATGCGGGCTAGATTTATAATGTATTGTTATGTATGAATGTACTATGTATGATCTAGCAATTATAGTCCTGTATATTATTCATGGGGACTAGCAGTAATGCACAAAGTACATAAATGCACGAATGTAATAGTGCTAATTGATTAGTAGTGACATGGTAGTCAAAGTATGTGCTGAGAAGGAATTCAGGGAATAGTTTAACTAGAATTTCAGCTTTGGGTGTTGATGGTGAAGTGGGATGCTTTTTCCTTGAGTTGTCCTGGGGAGGGGATTCTCCATTTCTGGTTTACAAGACCAGAGTATTAAATTATACTACTACAAGGGCATCTGCATTTAAGTAGCTTATTTTCAATTAGGCTGGTGAGTGGTATAAGGGTGAGAATGGTAGAGAAGTACATAAAAGATGCCATCTGCCGATGCCAATAAAAGGCTGCCCTCCAATTCATGTGAGTGTAAATAGTTCGGCCACTAAGATTCAGAATAGGCATTGACCCAACAGTCGGATTATGCTTTTTTGTTTAGACCTGTGAAATACAGGAATAACTGTTAGAATGAGAATGGAGAATTCAAGGGGCAGTACGCCTCCTAGTTTGTTAGGGATGGATCATAAGATTGCCTGTGCAAACAAAAAGTACCACTCTGGCTTAATGTGGCATTGGGTGTTGAGGGGGTTGGCCAAAGTGTTGTTATCTGGGTCACCCAGGAGGTCAGGCCAA